GAAAAAAATAAGCAAACTTGAAGATAGATCAATAAGTACATACATAGATACACAGGCAAACATTCCGTTTTGATGTAATTTTTAGAAACATCTAGGATTTTTAAATAATAGTAAAATGCTTTTACAGACAACTAAATTCCATAAATAACTGCCTTGTAAGATGACCAGCCATCCTGGTTTACCCAGGACTGAGGGGTTTCCCAAGATGCAGGACTTTCTAGCTCTAAAACAGGGGAAGTCCTAGACAAATCAGGACAAGTTGATCACTCTATTGCTTTGATTGAACATATTCCCTGGGCATTTTGGTTACCTGGCTGGTTTGGAGCAAAATGATGTGACTTGAATTTTACCTCCATTATGCTGTTCCTTTAGCAGGCAGAATGTTAAGTGCAGTGGTTCTCAAACCTCTCCTTCCCAAACATTCTGATATAATTTATCTGAAGACTTTAAAAACTGATTTTAAGAGTTCTGACTTAAGAGGTGGGTGCAGTGTAGTCCCAACTATTTGGAAGACTGAGGTGGGAAAATCACTTGAGACCAGGAGCTCGAGGTCAAGGTTGCAGTACGCTATGATCACGCCTATGAATAACTATCACAATTCCAGCGAGACCCTGTCTCAAAAAAAAAAAGTTCTGTCTGTGTGACTCAGATACTTCTGAGTTTTAACAGCCTCACCACCTGGGCCACTTTAAACAAGCTGCTTATCTCTCCAAAACTATCTCATTTGTAAATAGATTAAATAGAATGAAAACACCTATCTCACAAGGTTATTGTAAAAATTAAGAGACATGAAATGTCTTGTACAGTGTCCAGGACATAGGAAACTTCTAATAGGGCATAGCATAGCCTATCCCTGAAAAGGTAAGAGTTGGATAGATCATTTTTCTAATCCTTCTAATGGGAGAAACTTGTAACTTGAACTCTTGTGAGTTATACAAAAGGCTCAGGGATTTCTTTCTTTTAAGTTCATAATTGTCCCATCACAACACTAAACGGTGGTTTTAAAAATACACATTTGAGCAACATAGCAGAGGAAGCAAATCCAAGATCTCACCCTCGCACAGAAACACTGAAAAACAACCAGAAACAGTCACAGCCACCTTTGTCAGGACTCCAGAAAACAGTAAAAAGTTTATAGCAACCAAGCAAATGCTGAGTCAGGAAAAGGGCAACTTTAAAATGGTAGGAAAGCTTGTGACATTGTTTGCCCTTCCCCCCCAGCCTCCCTGGTGTGGCAGCAGCCTGGAAGACAGCAGCTGCACTCCCAGTGTGGGATCCTAGTCCCTGTTTCTAGAGGAAGCAGAGCAGAACTTATCCACAAATTCTTGCTTATGTTAATTCTAGCCTGTCTGGGGTCTACTTGAGGATTAACACAGAGCACTCATCTCTGTTTTGTCTACTTGCAATTCAGGCCTGAAAAGCAGCAGGCATTGTTAGAAAAAGTATAAGGTAAACTAACA